CAACTTAATTAAAACATTTTGTTTATGAATATTAACGTAAAATAGCAATGCATTATGAATTATAGAGTAAATTAAGCCCCTTGATATATATTCTATATTCCTACAGAAACTATGGTAAGATATGAAGTTAGATTTTTTTTGTAGGAAAAGAAATTTTTTTTGCATTAATTTCTTGTTTATCTTGATGATGCTATTAGACTGATGTCTTGAGTATTGTGGGCGATGACAAACATCAGTCAACTTAAAACAAGAGGCCCAGGGGCCACATTGCTCACCTGAGCAATTGGCTAAGAAAAAGCACATTTCAGATTAGAACTGAAAGTTTACTGAAAGGGTGGGTGGTTGGGGGGGGGGGAGGGGCTTGAATTTAAACCCCCAGGGGGTCATGATTTGAACAAACTAGAATCTACACTATATGAGGATGATTCCCTATAAATATCACTAAGCATGGCTTTGAAGTACATGTACTTGAAAAGAAGATTTTAAAAGGTTTCCCTATATATTCCTATGTAAAACTTTTATCGGCCATTTGGCCCCACCCTATCCCTGGGGGTCATGATTTGAACAGACTTAAATCTACACTACCTGGGGATGATTCCATAGGATTTTCATCTTTCCTGTCTCAATGGTTCTTGAGAAGAAGATTTTTTTCTATATATTCCTATGTAGAACTTTGATCGGCCATTTTGGCCCTACCCTACACCCAGGGGTCATGATTTGAAAATTGAATCTACACTATCTAGGGACAATTCCACATGAGTTTCATCTTTACTGGCCCAGTGGTTTTTGAGAAGAAGTTTTTTAAAGATTTTTTCTAAAAATTCCTATTTAAAACTTTGATCAGCCATTTTGGCCCCACCCTACCTCCGGGGTCATGATTTGAACAAATTTGAATCTACACTACCTGAGGATGATTCCACATGAGTTTCATCTTTCCTGTCTCAATGGTTCTTGAGAAGAAGATTTTTAAAGATTTTTCCTATATATTCCTATGTAAAACTTTGATCGGCCAATTTGGCCCCACCCTACCCCCGGGGGTCATGATTTGAACAAACTTGAATCTACACTACCTGAGGATGATTCCACATGAGTTTCGTCTTTCCTGGCCCAGTGGTTCTTAAGAAGAAGTTTATTAAAGAATGTTCCTATATATTCCTCTGTAAAAATTTGATCGGCCATTTTGTCCCCACCCTACCCCCAGGGGTCATGATTTGAACAAACTTGAATCTACACTACCTGAGGATGATTCCCCATGAGTTTCATCCTTCCTGGCCCAGTGGTTCTTGAGAAGAAGATTTTTTTAAAATGTCATTAATTTTTCTCTAATTCATAATTATCTCCCCTTGGAAAAGAGCTTGGCCCTTCATTTGAACAAACTTGAATCCCCTTCACCCAAGGATGCTTTGTACCAAGTTTTGTTAAAATTGGCCCAATGGTTCTTGAAAAGTTTAAAATGTGAAAAGTTTACAGACGAACGGACGACAGACATTGGGTGATCAGAAAAGCTCACTTGAGCTTTCAGCTCAGGTGAGCTAAAAAGAAAACTGTTTGATTATTAACCAAGGCAGTTTTGGCAGTGTACATAAGGTCATTGATGTTTAAGGTTGGTCGCGGGTTTACTGCATAAAAATTCTTACGAGAAAACATATCCTGAAAATTTGATATAATGTTCCCGAGAATTCAATGTGTATTATCTGCAATTTTTATGAAAGAACGAGTGCACTTATGGGCCCCGGTAAAATGTGAAAAAATTAACATTCAAATTAAGCCAAATTTTTTATCACAAATCATTAATTGATATCTAAACCATAAGATTCAACAAATTTTACTGCTGAAATTCACGTATATCCAATGAACAAAACCACAGAATGCGGCAGGAGTCAACCGACATGGAGTCAACCGACATTTGTGATTTTCTATAGTAAATCGAGAACGGTCAGTCATTTCAAAGCTTTTGTTTACTATGAGCCTAACTTTGTACAAACTTGTGTGAATGACAAAAGACGCATAATACATTTATAAAACTTGTGTGAAAGTAGGAAATTTGTACACGATTAGACTGGTAGTTGAAATATTAAAAATGTACAAAAAGTACAATGTTAGTGAGAGGTATTTACCTGTATGACCCATGCTGAACCCACTTGTGGAATAAATTATTTAAAATACTGATAGTTACGTGAGTTCTACCTAGGTAAACATTCCTCAAAGGTGCTCACTGTAAAACATCGGCAGGTTTTTTTTATCATTTAGTCAAAGTTGCGCCGCTTAGAAATATTTCTATGTATCAATATTTAAGATTACGGTAGGGTACAGTACAGAGAGTTTAGCGCAACTCATAAAAGTGTCAGGCATTTTTAACATTTATGCAAGACAATGAAACAGGTATTGAAAGCCACCTAAACACTCCTTTTAGATTTCAAATTCATTTTATTGTATGTATTTTTTCAAATGCAAGAGTACCGATTTCTTAGTTTGATTATTATGGCTATACCTACTCCCTATATATGTATATATATATATATTATACATGTATGTATTCGATAAGGAAATAATGTAATGTTATAAAACTGTGCAAATCTTCATGTCGTTCATTTTTTAAAATTTACAATATCAAGATGGATTCGCAGCCGTAAAGAGTTCCAAAGAGAATGCGATGAATGTTTAAAAAGTACTTCGCACTCGTGAAAAAAAAAAAACTCTGTCCCACTGGCACTCGTGAAATAGAATAAAATTCCAGATTCAACTACAAAACATTGAATACACTCTATTTCTTTCTTTCTGACTGTACTAGTAGTTCATCGATAGGCGCGGTTTACAAAAAATCATGTGCGGGCCGTGAACCGATTGAGACAGAAGCGGGACCTGTAGCACGTGGATTAGCGTCCATTCAAGAGCATGTATAAATAAGGAATACTGTCCGATTTTTATGCAAATTATCACACAAGCCACTCGGTTGATGAAATAAAATAATTAGAAAGTTATTCCTTAACAAAATCTTTAAATTAAATAAAACAATTAATAAGTCATGGATTAATCGCGGGTTAACAGACAATGATAGCTGCATGCCCCGTAGCTGCAATAATGTAGCCCTCTCCAAAAAAAAAAAAAAAAAAAAAAAAAAAAAAAGGGAGAGGGCTACATTATTGCAGCTACATGCCCCGGTGTTCAATATTATATCTTTGGATGAACAATATCCTGGCATCTGTGTTATTTATTAAACATGAAAAGTGTTAGAAAACTGAGCTTGAATAATCGCTGAAATATCGGGGTGTCTATTTAACAAAAAAAAAAAAAAATAAAGTCGGAAACTATGCCTGTTCAGTCGGGTAAGTAACTAAGTTTATGGGTTTTATCAACATGTACAAGATTCACTGTAATTGATCCAGACCCTGATATCTCTTCATATTTTGCAAAATGTAAGTATACACTGCATGTGACAAATAAAAGTACAAACAATGCAGAAAAAGTGAAAGTGAAAGATGGATCTCATTACGAAGACTGATGGCTGGAGTAGAAGCAAATTACAGTATACGTCTTCCGGAAACCTTTTCCCACACAATGATTTCAGAACGTGCGAAATTGTTAGGAAATATATTTAAAACGTAGAAAAACCTGTTGAAAAGGTTAAAAGTTTTCTTTAAAAAAATATTTTTTTGAAAGGGGGGGGGGGGTTATATGGTATACACGTGTACAATGTATACGAAAGAAAATGATTCTGTGTACCAGCGCAACGATTCCGCTAATTCATACATGTCAATGAGATTAATTGTATTTTTAAAACATGTAAAAAGCATCAATAACAATAAATGGTTCTAATAGTACTATTATAATACCGACATCAGGTGAAAAAGATTGATTGATTGATTGTATATTGTTTAATGTCCCTCTCAAGAATATTTCACTGATATGGAGACGTCACCATTGCCGGTGAAGGGCTGCAAATTTAGGCCTATGCTCGGCACTCAGGGCCTTTGAGCAGGGAGGGATCTTTATCGTGCCACACCTGCTTTGACACGGGGCCTCGGTTTATACGGTCTCATCCGAAGGACCGCCCCATTTAGTCGCCTTTTACGACAAGCAAGGGGGTACTGAGGACCTATTCTAACTAGCTATGACGTCACAGCCTACTCCACTGCGTTACGATATCCGGTGAAGCATGAAGCGGTTCGAGGACTTATGTACTAAGGCTACTATTCTAACCCGGATCCCCACGGTGCCAGGTGAAAAAGAAAAGACATCATGAACATGTAATAACTATCACAGACACCTGACGTTACTTATTTTTCTTTAAATAAGGAATTATATACCCCTACCTACTAATAAACACAAGGTTAGGGCTATATTATTTTTATTAAAAGAAAAAATAAGTAAAGTTTGGGCCAGTGATATCAAATTGATAACTCTTTCGCTTTAGGTCGTCTGACGTCATAGTAAAGGGAAGTAACTTGAGTGCGCGAATTTTTGAAATCGTGTATAGTTTTGACATTTTTTAGAAACATTTTCAAAATGTTTTTAAAACATTCAAATAATGTATTATTGCGATTTTTCTAAAATTTAGTTTATGAAGAAAATATAGAAAGAATAGTGTTAAAATGAGGAATTGTAGTAATTTTTTAATTGAAAGATTTTTTCTGGTATTTTATAATGATTTCTAGTTTTGGCTTATTGATAAAACAGACATAATTTATATAAAGTCCTTTGATTAAAAAAATCAAAAATTCAATAAATGAAAGGATATAGGCAAAGAAAAAAAATTAAAATATAAATAAATGTATAAAATCATAAGCATTAAATAAAACTCTTAATGTCTTTTAAAAAAGGTAATGTTCTTCAGCAAATCTGTGATCCACTCCCAGAATTTTACTCTGAGGCATATGCATTAGATAGGGATTGGCTCACTGGTCAGTTTCAGTTGATAACCGCTTATGCAATTCTCCTGCTGGGCAGCGCGTTACAGAGTATAGTGGTTTGCTGCTTATCTAGGCCAAATTTCGAATTCTGGTAAACAAGATGTGCGCGCTTACTCCGTGCCGATTTGAATGAGAAGACTTTGCACCATATAAACCACGACGATAACCTCGGGATTTATTAACTTTGAATGGTAAGAATTATTCCTTTATCATAGACTTTAAAAGATCATTTAAAATTATACTACCAGTGATAATCAATAACTTTGTACAAATGTATGTAGCAATGACAAAGCGTTAAGATTTTATACATGTATTTGATTTGAATATTTCAATCTTAAGGCAACACAATCATATCTTTGTTTCAAGTATTCGTTGTCTTTGTGTAATGTTAATCATCAAACAATATTTTGATTTAAAAATGAAATTTCTTTACAGCATGGTGTTGGTTGCATCATCCGTATTTTCAAATTTCCACATTCAAAAGACCCGCCTTTGGTGAAGGCAAAGGTGTACGTAAATACTATTACTCTTCAATAATTTTGTCATAGTAATTATTTTCTGCTTTTTACAATGCAAATGAGGAAAGAACTTAAATTTGATATAATTATTTAAAAATATTTTTTGTATACTTCCATTGATTATCTTAAGATACATTAGATGTAGAATACTGATACAAACGCAATTTTCCTTATCTTTACAGATTGTGCTATTCTCTCCGAGGGGTGGATTCCTTATCAGCCTTTTCAGTGTATGTGATTCTAACTAGGTCTTATAGATCCGCCGCTCTGTTCTACCTATACCACGTAAACAGTGAACATAGGATTTCTGTGATTCTGTTCTTTTCTTAAATTCAGTGAATGGATTAGACGCCGTTTTCAACCTTTAAAAACCCGGTGACTTGAAAGAAAATAAATTAAAATTGTACCGAGAATGGAATTTAAATGTGATTAACATATTGAATATGGGTTTGTATTAAAGATTCAAAAATTAAATATAATTTGTGTTTATTTTTTTTAAATATAAATATTTCATTATTTAATGATATAAAGTAAAAATTCAGGAAAAATACTTTTGTAACCCTGACTTGAATCTTTTGAAAACGTTTTAAAAACCAAACAAATTAAACGTGAATAAGAAATTTTTGAAAATGTTTTTGTTACATTTAAAAACAATGTTATGATACATGTAACATTTGTTGAAATATTTTGTTGTAAAATGTTTTTGTGACATTTTAAGAAAATGTTCCGGAAACATTTGCTGAAATATTTCACTAAAATGTTTTAAAAACGTTTAAAAAACCATACAAATTCACGTGATTAAAACATTATTCAAAATGTTTTTGCAACATTTTAAGAAAATGTTCTGACAACATTTTGCTGAAATATTTCACAAAAATGTTTTAAAAACGTTTAAAAAACCATACAAAATCACGTGATTAAAACATTTTTTAAAAATGTTTTCGCAACATTTTGAAAATGTTTTAAAAACATTTTAAAAATGTTTTTGTGTTAACTGGGTACAGGCAACTACAGAACTTCTTTCATTTTTTTAAAAACAGATATAGCACAAAAAATTACATTCCACAAACGCGCTCGACTGTGATCCACCATCAGATTGTTCAAGATCTCTTCGCCTTGATTTACATAAACAAAACTAAAAGAAGGTTCGGTTCGACTTTTCCGGATTTTTAGGGTGTCCATATAGGCATTTAAAAATAGTCAATTGTTTCAAATCCATGCTGATTTTGGTGATGATTATCGTGCTTTTTAATTAGAAATATACACTAATATATAGCTATTTCCAATAGAGAACGATTTTGGTTATATATTCTAAAGTAAAATGGCACATAAAAAGGGCCCATTAAGCATTACTTAAGTGCACTTGTCCTTTGCCTAAGTAGTTTTAATGCTATATTACTATAAACGCAGTATTGTAATTAGTACATTTTTTACGCTTTACTATTGAAATATATGGAAAAATGACGTTTTTAAGCCAATTTTGTGAAAATAGTTTATTTTAAAAAGGTTGGATAACTTTTTAAAGACGTAGACGAATTAGTCAGGAATTTCAAAATGTCAAGATGAGGTAAAATCAAAACTATTGATATAAAAAAAATCAATATGTTTTCTTGCTAGATTTTTCGCTAAAAAAAATTAAAGTTCCCTTTTATATTGCTGAAATGTTGCGTTTATGGCGTTATTTATGTCTTCAATTAAGAAATAAACAACGTTATTTAGTGAACATGGCGTTATGAATAGCAATTGCTCTGCTGGCATATTCCATGATGCGCGCTAGCGCGTCATGGAAAATATGCCAGCAGAGCTAATGCTATTCATAATGCCATGTTCACTAAATAATCGTTGTTTATTACTTATATTTGCATTCTTTGTTGTTGTCGAGAATATCAGAGGAAATCCTGGCTCACATAAGGAATCGTGGCTTGTTGTCTTCAGTAATGAAAAACACACGGCTTTTAAATTAGTATACCTGATCATTGCACCTTTTTTTCTAATCAATCACAAACAATTTATAAAGTACTAGCCTCTTTTAAAACACAGTTATCTGGATACAAGCTGTGCCGTCGTCACATTTTTTTTTTGTTTTGATGCAGATGTGACGTCATCGATCAACGTTATTGAAACCCTCTGACAAAAATCAATAATTTAACCATTTGATGAAAAAAGAGAATGCTTTAATAATTATTCTATCTCCAGAATGCTTTTCTATATGATTTTAAAATTTTTTTTCTATTTATTTTTGAAAGCTGAGACCGTTCTTGAAATAGACATACTATCAAATTAAAGAAATTTTGCTTTTTCTAAATGTTTTATCGCCCTTATGTGAAGAGTTATCGTTCTTTGTACAAATATGTAAAAATGTGATAGGAAAAAATAAAAATATGACAATTCTCTTCAATTTTTTAAAAATTTTATTATACAATTAAATACATTGACCAACATTAAATTTTTAAAGAAGTAAATCAGCACTTTTAAATTGTTCTAAATTTCTTTTTTTCCAAAAATTATTATTAAAAACTTATATTTATTCCTTTTACGAAACATTTCATATATATACTTCTCAACACGATCCCTATGTGAAGAAGAATTTGCACTACACGAGTGTGATAGAGCAATTGCACTCATAGAGGAAGCAATTGCGTCTATAGTGCTATGAATGCAATTGAGCACTACATGTTCATAGTGAGAGAGTGCAGTGGATATGCAAATATCGTCATTTGTTGAACATTGTAACGTTTACCGTACGAATATAAATATTTTGACATTTGGAATAAACAAGATCTAAAATATGTCATAAACTCAAAATTTAATTTTATTCATCATTTAACTTATTGCGAAAAAATATTAGGATGATCAGCAACTTTTTTCACTAGCATTGTGAATTTCATATTCTAATCACAGAGTCGGAATGAAAGGTACATGTATAAACATTCCTCATGCATGAGAATTAACATGCACCGCGAGTGATAAAATATGAGTTCCTGTATTTTTAAGAAATTCATGGTGGAAAGGATTTCAGGCATAACACAAAAATTTGATCACTTTATTAAAAAACGGTAAAGAAAAAACTTCTAGATACTGGGGAAATTAGCCGGGGTGGGGGTGGGGGTTTGGAGGTATTTGTAATTTTCTTTCTATATATATATTAGAAGCAAGCTAGTACATGGACCTAACTCTTAAACATTTGTTAATTACGAATTCTCTTAATCAAATTTCCATGCACAAAATGTAAAATACATATACTTGAATTGAGCTTTTACACTTTGACTATAGAGCTTTTGTTTAAAACTTTTAATAATAGAAAAGATACTTGTTAATTGATTACAGCTTCATATAGGTCTTACAGGTGTCATCGTCGCAAACCACGGCCAACATGTACGCTTCTCTCCCATTCTGGCCGTGGTTCAACGAGGAGAGAATTCTTCGTAGCTCATTAAAATATTGACCAATGCGAGTAAAGCATAGTCGGATGATGAACTTTATCGCGACCTTTCAATATCCAATCGAAGTAAAGGAAATATTTCTTGTATACTGTTGACGTCAGTTGTTGATTTCGATTGCGATGGAAACAAAACTTTCCACTGACTGAATATGACGTCACAATAGAGAGGCATAAATATTCAAGATTACGACACTTTTTGTGATCAAGCAGCCACGGGTAGGAGAGAGCTATATAAGCGGACTCCGGACCGTGGCTTGAGACGATGTACAGGTGTGTGCATAAATTTGATTTTTGAAAGCATTTCACAATTTATCAGTCAGTAAAACAAGGTGACTGGATGAAATTTAGATACATAATAAGTAACCAAACAATACTTAATAATGATGATGATGATGATGAGAAAAAAAAAAGGAAAATGCAAGTATTAAATTCAATCCGTTTTTAGTGTTGAGGATTGATTCCATCCTGAAAATTATACGCATATTTTTGCCCTAACTTTGATTAGCAGTCATGATGCAATACGCATGTTCCCTCAGTTGCAAATAACGTGCGCAAATACAACCCCTAAAGTTTTCCGCTAAACAATTTAATTTATGATAACTTACTCTCTGCATATCATAACTTTCATGCCGACTTATTCTGATTGACTTTTAGCAGTTTAGTAATACTAACAATGTAAATTTTTCCTTTCATTTGGTATTGTATTTAATTTTTCCTAGGGCATGACATATACTAGTAATCACATGAGAGTTCAGACTGAAATTTAATTATAAAACATGTACGGGGTTTACGTACAATAGCATAAACTTTTAATCTACTTGATTCGTACTGACTTGAAGTCATTGGCAGAGATTTAAGCGGGAAACAACGCAACGTTGCCTTTGTGACGTAACTGACGTCATAATCAAATGTGCACAAAACAGCCGCTCGAATTGTCGAAATTGTGTACCAAAATTGATGACAAAAGCAAACCCGCGACCTACCTTAAATTGTAAATTGTAAAAAAAAAAACAAAAACACTTTTTTTCAATATGGTTCTTTGCTGTTCGGTCACAAATGAAAAAAAGATTCTTTTCCCCTTTTTTTATTTTGTTTTGGAGTTCTTGGCCGCTCCAGTTGACAAGCAGCGCCGTCCGCGGCAGCAAGAAGACCATGCAGAATCACCCCCGCCATCTGCAGCTGATGTAAAGCCTAGATTTAATAAAAATTATATTTGTACATGTATGATGTTAACAAAAACTTTCTTAAAAGCTCATGAAGCTAGCCACAGGCACGTATCATCGTTTTAGAAAGTGAGGGCCAACCAGAGAATTTTTTTAACCCCCTCCCCCCAAGATAAAATTACAAGTTGCCAAAACTCGAAAATCCTATTTCGTGGGGGGAGGGGGGAGGGGGGAGGGGGGGTAGTTTCCAACTTTTTCAAAGCCAAGTTACTTTCTTTTTCAATTTCTTTCCATACAATTCGTTGATATCACTATACTATGGTAAAAAGTGGGGGGGGGGGCAACCATCCTTTCAATGAACATTTACTATTATAGTAAAGGTAATGTTGGGCCCCCCCCCCCTTCCTGTTGCTACGTCCCTGCGTTAGGCACCGAAATCCACCTAGTGCCAAAATCTGGTGATAATTTTTTTTTTTTAATTTGTGTGTCTTGGATACCTCTGTTTGGAATCAATTTATTTTTTAGAAATATCTCAAACTGTTTTCCTTCCCTACTTAACTCACTAAAAATGCAATGTTTTCCTAAGAAACTAGAGGTACTGTGAGCGATGATTTGCTGTGGCCGTGAAACCCAAAATATGTGTCAGATCAAAAAGTAAAATAAGAGGTGCGCAATGACAATATGTAATAAAGATTCTGTGAAAGTTTCATCAAATT